CGGATCTGGAGACATTCGTGAATTTGGTCCCCGCGCCGCGCGTGGATAAGCGATGTCACTTGCCACTGCGCTGCTTCTGAACGATGATTTAGGAATGGAATCCGAATCTGCCGCCTACCATAAGCCTTCTGTTGTAATCAGAGAGAATGCATGTAAATACAAGCGTGCTGGAATAAATGACGCCTATAAATATGGAAATGTAGGGTGTCTGAACGCATACCTTGTCACGGGGAGATAGACAAGGCGATCGTGATTTGTCGTGTTGCGGCGCGCGGCGTGCAGCATGCGCGGCAAAATCGTGCACCAGTTTGTCGATTGTAGCAGCAAAACTCATATGAATTGGAGTGGAGGAAAACTCATATGAATTTTAGAATGTACATGACTCCATGACGTGCGATAAGGAATTCCCCATCCCTTTTACACCCATTCAAGTGGTCAGGCAGGACAACTCGTCTGTCGGGCGCGGCGTCGCTCGCCCCGCCCACCAGCGCGACATATTACGATTGTCTTGTCACACAGTCCTTATCACAGACCTCTTCCATGAGTGATCGCTGGTGTTTGCACGAAAACACAACTTCTCCGGGGAGGAATAAGATGTCCAGCGAAACATAGACATTCACATTTGCTTGACCATTTCTGGTGTCACACAGAGAAAAATGTGCGCAATATGGGATAGATGAGCGTGCGTTCGTGGAGCGTCGTAATTTGCTGCAGTTAGTGCACCTGTACTGCCTTTTTTTGACTGCGCGCGCTTCGAAGCACTGTCACGGTAGCCAACCTTCCCATCGGACGTAGTCATCAGACACCCGAGTGGCCGCCCCTTGTTTGCGAGATCCACGTTGCGGCCACGCACTAAAAACAATATTTCAGCACTTGCAATATTGTTTTTGGTGCGATTGATTGATTCAACAAAGAAATGCACATGTAGAATCGATGTGGAAATGTTCTGTTAGTTCTGGCGCCTCGCGGAAACGGGGGGGGGGCTCCCAGTCCATACTGCTGAGCTGAACATACACTTTTGCTCTCTGCGGACAATGAGGCTTGTCAGGAGGACAGAGTTAGCGCGGCATCGCTCAGTTGTAAACCATCTCGTAAACAACTTTGCTTGAAGACAGCTCCCACTTTATCACATCTCCCAGTAATGGATATCATCCAATGCAATGAAAAGAATACGAAAAACAACAAAAACACGGAAGAAAAACTCTTGAAAAGGAAAAGAAACTTTCAAAAACTCGGCGTCCGAATTTAGGGTTACGGTAGCGTGCATCTTTTAGTGTAGTGTAGTGCGTCGAGCTTTTGCACCACGAAAATTGGGTCGCTCGTGATTTTTACGCGTTTTACCTTGCGAGATGGGTTGGAGTTGACTGTATGTGCTGCTAATGAATAAAATGTAATAAAGGAGAGCAGAATTATTCATGGGCACGAGCGCGGTCAGCAAAAAGGACATGCAATTCCGATTAATGCCCGCCGCCCCAACAAAGAACAACTGAGCGGCCCTCCGTCGGAGGGCATCTAGCAAGTGGGCGGTCCAACTGGGCGGGCGTTAGAACTAGAACTTTCAGCGGCTGTAGCTCGCTCCTCGCTCGCTGTGGAGTCGCGAGAGTGGGACAGTCTCTAGCTTGGGGGCTGTACTACTTGCACAAGGAAGGACGACCATGTACTACTTGAGCGCGGGGGCTGTCTTTAAATTGATGCAG